AGGGTTCTCCTAAGCTTGCGTGAACTGGATCTCCCGCGTGAAAGCGCATGTAGTACAACCAATGAATCAACAAGGTGTAGGAAGCGAGTTCGGTGCTCTTTCAACTCCCGGATACGCCACGCCAGTGAAGTCTTGACAGCACGCAACTCGAGGACATTAATGTGCTCAGTCTCACCTGTCCAGCGCCAGCCTGCAACCTCGCGCCAGCGCCATAGTTTGCCCGGAATAGATGCTCGCAAACGATGGTAGCGTGCTGGAATATCTGTTCCCATCTGAAGCAGCAAGTCTTCACCCTTAACAGAGATCTGGCCCAAGAGCTTGCGCACAAGCCCTTGTCCCTGAACCCCTGCCTGGGTTGTCCTGCGCATTGGAGGGCGCAACAGAAGACTTGGGAGGCGGTCTTCCTCCCCTGGAGTCAACCGCTTCAACAGCTCCGGCACACCCAATGGTTCAACAAAACCCAAGGTGTAGAAGAGGGAGTGAAGAAGATAACATACCACTGGAACAGACCATGTGTTACCCAAAAGCGTCAGGCGACAGTCATTCCACGAAGTTGTGTGCTGCTGGCCTTTGGGAAAGCACTTTGCTGTATAGTCCAAGGGAAATCCAAGGATACATTCCCTCTCTCTCACATTGGGAACACGCTTCACAACCCCGTTTGTAAGACAATTGACTGCTTTGTATTGGTAAGGTGGGAAACGATGGTCATCCTCCTTCCAACGCATCAAGTCCTCGGCACTGCGCAACTCCAAGCCTGCGGGCTTGCGCTCAGGCTTCATAGAGGGTCGAGAAGTGGTAAAGGTCGGCAACACCTGTGTAGGTTCGACCCGGCGCCACCCTGGTTCCAGGAAGTCCTTCTCCTCCACAACTGCTTGTAATTGTATCCTGCCTGCTAAGGGCAAACGTTGCCTTTCATCCTCCACTTTTAGGGCACCTTTGCACTCCAGCGGCTCCCAGTTGAACCAGTAGAGCCTGGGCCTACGAGCTAGACTAATACCACCTGCGTCGACTAGCCATGGGCGTCCGTCATATGCCTCATTCATAACCTCGCAGTCTTGGACATCCATCGAGGCCACGTTCTCAGCAAGTCGGAAAACTGGACACCATTTGAAGAACCGACGCAGCAACAGCTCCACACGTCAAACATGTGAAAACAGACTTGACCTAGCGTCACGCAGCGCCCCCTTTCGGTCACTGCTTAAACCTGAGACTCCCTGACATGGGGGTCCCGCTCCCAGGAGGACTGCGCTCACCCCTGGGTACAGAAGACTCCAACTGCTGACCTCATTCTCATCGATGTCCTGGACGTCCGCAATGTGCCTGACCTCCGGAAACCAACTCTCAACTACCCGTCGAGCACTTTCCGAGATCTCCGCCGACACGTAACCTGCCACAGGGACACGGAGCGCATCAACTGCCACGCGCAGGGCACCAACGCCGTCAAACAACGACACTACCAAGATAGGCTCAACGTCATCTTGGGAGAGAATGTCTCCCCTGGTCTGCGCCCGGGCTGCTGCTGCACCGTAGGGAGACAACTCCTTGCTCACGCACAATCCACCTCCACTGGTCGACGCGTCACTAGCCGTGACACTCTCGGAGATCAGGGTGCGGAAGTCCATGAAGGCAAGAGGGGTCAAGGCAATGAACCTTAGCAGCTCCAATTCAACATGCTCGCCCAACACCTCACGCTTCCTTCCTGAGTCCCCCAGATCTATAATGCGCAAGGCGTTCAACCCGGCTAGAAGAGGTCGTCGGAACATCGCAACATACACAAAGCCTCCTCCCACGATCTGTAACTCCTTCTGCGATGCACATCCTCGAATCAACAGCTAGCTCGCACGCAAGCCTCACGTATTTGACCACCTTTGAACCTTTTGGTGATGCTGTACCTGCCTCGCCGTCCAGCCAGGCTCCTTGCACCTCTGCCCTGACCTCCTGGGTAACCGCTTTCTTGGGATGCCTGGGCAGCCCCAAGTCCTCATAGGTTTGCCTCACAGCTAGAGTCCATGCTGAGGGTTCTCCAGCCAACGCTTCTGCTAGCCTGCGGTCCACTTTGCGCAACTCGTCGTAGTTGTCCAGGTATACCCTGTACAAGTGATCAGCTGCTGAAAACCCCCGATCTCTACGGAGCTCCTGGTGTCCTGAGGCCAATGCTCTCTCACCCCTGAGGGCCATTTTAATGACCCTCCGGTGATAGCCACCGAATTGATGAACCCCATAGGCAAGACCTGGGTCACCAGGTGCCACCCTGATCCACTGCAAGTTGCTGGGAGGGCCTCCTGGGGCACCTCCCTTGCAAACCCCATGTACTTCCACCAGGAAGCTGGAGTCCGGAATAAATAGAAGAAGCAACGAATATCTTCAGATGAGGTTATTAGGAGCTGACTATCCTCCAAAACCACCGCCGACATGCCCACAACACTGGGTAAGGTTGAAGTGTCGCCAACCAAGCTTCTACAACAACTATTGGTGGGCACCAGGTTCATGATGAGTCGACAAACCTCAAACGATTGGCCATCCGCACCCACCGAAGTCTCCTGCTTGCTTACGGCAAAAAGTCCATTCAACAGGGGGCGTCCGTTTACATGGTGTAGCTCCGAAACATGCATGACTCGGCAAACCCCCCGGCTCAACAACCCTGAGCAGACCTCCGCCCAGTGGCGCTGCTCCACCATGATCGCGGGGGTGCGCCCAAGGTGCTGGTCCTGAGGCGGCATCAGGAAACTTTCGAACTCCCGGACATAGTTGAGGGTCCCCCCATCGGAAAAGGATTCCAGCTCTAATGAACCTACTGCATCTGGCATTGCTGCTTCAATCATCTTCCACTGGAAAGATCGGGCCACCTGAACCTCCTCACCTGAGTAGTCCACCGTTTTGGATTGGAAAAGCTTATGAAAGTCCAGCTGGGGCAATTTCTCTTCCAACAGATTCGAGTTCAACACCACCTGATTTAACCTTTCAGTCAATGATCTTCGAATACCCTCCTCTCTTGCACGTGTCTTGGTTTTGGTTCCATACAACAAATTCAATGCACGAATCAATGCGTCCGAGTTTGGGATTCTCTGGCCGTGTAGTCCCAAGTCACTAGCGAGCGGCAAGGGGAATAGATCCCCCTTGGGCTGGCTGCAACGCTCTAATCTAGTCTCAACCACCGCCAATGCCCGAGACAACACTGAACCCAACTCCGCAAAATTAATTTCCTTTTTTCGACAACATGCCTCAAGTACTGTGCGGCACGGCTCAAAGGCCAGTCGCCAGCCGGGTCCTCTGTTGTCCGCTGTGTCATAGGTGATCTCGCAACGGCCGGCATCATCAAGCTGCTGCTCCGTCACACCTCTGTCATACTGGGAGGCATGACTGGTGTCCATCTCCGCTTCCACACGCATACCATCTTGTGGCATAGAAGGCTTCCAATGCGTTTCAACTCGATCATTGCACTGGGAGCCCGCCTCAAGTGGCTTGGAAAAAACCCGCTCCCCTCCATTCAACTCCAGCTGGGCCCTCTCGGCCTCTATGCCCGAACCAAACGAAGGGAGCTCCTCTTTTCGCAGCAGTGATGGCGACGTGCAATCGTTGCTGCCTCCACCACATTGTCTCTTCGCCCAACCTGTCCTCTGCTCTAAGCCTCTCTTTTCACTCTCTTTCAATATACAAATCATCAGCCTCTGCCATAGCAACCTGTTCAACCAATGCACTCTCAGCCTCATTTGCTCCCGACCAAGCCTCCTCCTGACCTGTCTTCCACCTGGGGCTTTCTGTATCCTTGATTTGAATCATCATTGCTTTTCTTTCTTCTTTCCCTTTCCTTTTCCTTTGCCTCCTCGATCTCCTTTTTCGCGCCCTTCAGGTGGATCAGGTCTGCCTTTTGTCTTGCCCCCATCTTTGCCTCCCATGCTGTACGGCCTTTGCACGGCGCTTCGATTGCGTGCCTCTTCTCTTGCCAACTTGCCAACCTAGCGGCTTCAGCTCCTTCGGCTCCTTGGGATAACCTAACCGAATCTGCTGACACCAGTTCGAGCTGGCGCGCAACTGTCCAGTGCGCTCCTCGTGCCTGTTGTTCGAGGGCCTTGAACCGCTGGGAAAGCAGGTCAACGGCGCGAGCCGGATGCCCCCGAAGCAGCAAATCAGCCGTCTGACTGATGGTTAGCAGCTCTTGCCCCATTGAAGGGGAAACCAAGGAGTGGAGCTCACTGCGATAGTACTGCGTGTAGAGGGGAGGCAATGACTTGCGGTCCAACGAATGGAGGGTACCGCTACTGGTCATCAATGACTCCTTCATCCCCGCTATCGTTTGAGCTCCCAGGCATCCGGGATACTGCTGAGTCAGGCGCAACGCTCTTTTCTTCTCGGCAAACAATCCTTCGCCCGTCTCAACCTCTTCATCCTCCTCCGAAGTCGAGCTATCAGAAGAAGACCCTTCACTTGAAGACCGCTTGCGCTTCTTGCCTTCTTTCTTTCCCATCTTTCGTGCCCTTCGGAGCAACTTGGCACGTTCCTCCATACGTGGGTCCAGACAGGTCCCACTGAACAGGCTCCTCAACCTCTTTTGTCCTCTCTCCTGCCCTAGCTCATCCTCTGTGTCCTCTTTGTCTGACTTCGCCTTCTCAGGCCGCTTTTCCTTTTCTTTCTCTTTCTTCTTCTTTTTCTTCTTTTTCTTTTCTTTCTCAACCTCCGCACTGGGAGACCTCTTCTCCCCTGCCACCAAGCCGCTCCTAGCCACATAGTGCTCCCTCAGCTTCGCCATCTCGTCCATCTCCTCTGCAACAACCTCTGTCTTTTTCGAAGAGCGTATGCCACGGCTGCCTCTTGTCCCCCACTTCCCAGAATCCCGCGGCATGTAGGATGTCGGGTCCAGCTGTGGAGTGGGGACAGTCTTTGGGGCAGATGTGTAGCTGCATCACCCGCCGAGATGGTTCGCTCAGCACCTCAACCAGCCTTTCGGTTTGGGTCCCCGTCACCTTGAACTCCAAATAGTCCGTGTCACGGCCCAAACCTGTAAGGTACCCGGCCACTTTGACCAACCCATCATAGTAATACCCATAGGCCAACTCCACCAGGCCCAGACAACGAAGCTGGGCTGCCGTTAGTTCCAATAGGTAGGTAAACTTGTCCGTCTTCCGCTCCTCAACCTCCTTTGCTGAAGGCCTCCTCCTCAAGGCCGGTGCCCTTGCGGCAGGGCGTCGACGAACCTCCATCACCACCACCTATTGTTGAACTTCTCTTGCTTGGCCCTTCGGGTGATTCCCTTATTCTTGCCGGTGTACCAACGAGGGTGCAAACTCCAAGGCACCGGGCCGATCCAGCCGCGTCCACGTCCCCGAGCAAGCGGGGGGCGATTGTCTCGCCTGGCTGGCTCCCGCCGGGCTGGCTCCCTCCTGTCAGGTGCCGGGGGCGGATCTGGCGGCGGGCCAGGCGGAGTGTGCGGACTTTTTGGCCGTGGAGGCGTAGGCAGCCGCTTTAACTCCTTCTTCTTTGCTGCTCGCACCCGCGACCCCGACACTGAGCTTCCAGGGCTGGTGGACCTTTTCCTCTTCTTCTTATCCTTCTTTTCTTTCTCCCTCTTCCGCTTCTCACGCTTCCGCCTCCTTCTGGATGAACTGCTGGTCGAACTCCTGCTCCTCTCTTTCTTCTTCTTTTCAGCAGCCTTGGGAGTCCTCTTCAACTCCCCTCTAGGGCTTTTCTCCTCCTCCTCTCGCTCTTCTTTACACTTGGGAGTTCTCTGCAACTCCCCTCTGGGGCTTTTCTCTTCCTCCTCAACCTCCTCAAATGGCGCCTCGGGGGCCTTCTTGGGCTCAGCCTTCTTCTTTGCAAAGAGCCTAAGATCTGGCGATCGATCACGAAGGGCCTCACGAGGGGGCTGACTTGGTCGTGGAACTGTACGAGTCTGGGAGGTGGCTCGCTGGGCACTCCTCCCTTCAACAGGCAATGCAGGCCTCGAATGCGAACTCGGCTGAACAGGTGGGGCTTTTGCAGGGGCTGAAACTGCTTTCCGGTCACTCCTCTTTTCCTCGGCTGTGTCCTCCTTGATGTCTCTTGGTTGGGGCTTATGTGAATCTCCTCCTCTGCTCGGGCTTCTGTGTCGCGACGCCGAGCTTCCAGATCCAGTCGGGGTGTCCTTGTTCTCTAGGTCCTTGATGGTCTTCAGCCAGTCTTCCAAGAGAGCGAAGCAGCCTTGGTAAAACACAACGGCCGACTCGTCCTTCTCCGCGGACACGACACCCTTCACCGAAACCTGGAGCTGGTACGACTTGCGGCACGGTGCGCAGACACTGAGTCCCTTGTCTCTCACGACAAAGTGCTGGCACCGCTCGCAAATTGGGAGAGGGCCAGGCCGGCCCCCTCCCATCCAACTCAAACTTTTCCTTTTCGAGCCCGATGCTACGGTGAAAAAGGACTGACTCTGTGCTTAATTATGAGGACATTAATCCATGGATTGTCTGAACGGAACTCTCTCAAAGGATGCTAGCTGAATGTGTCTGCTTAATAATCTTATATATATACTCTTAATAATTTAATAATTAATCACCAACTCTATGACTCGACACATGATGTTCTCCGAACAGCCCTAGATCTTAAGTTGCTTGGGGTCAAAAAGTCGAGACTTTTTTTGG